GGCATGGTGGTGGAGTATGTGGTGAGGAGGTGAGAATGTTGATGGTGGCTGACGAGATGTTGCCTCGATCACGGAACTCACAGCGAGGGCCATATTCGTATTAATAACTTGCCTCTTGATACTCTTCCTTGCGGTCAGACGCCGAACCACGGAGATCGTGGTCTGGCATGGTGTTGAGCTGAGAACAATGCATGGCCTGCCATCGGGGTTGTCTCCGACCATAGTGGGCCCGACGTCCGACGCCGCGCTGGAGCCGACTCCCGAGAGATTCACGACAATGCCACATCACGAGACTATGCACAAGCGAATTCGCCCGTATCGATTGCCGCGCAGCATGGATAAACCTCGAAGTCTCATCTCACGGTGGCTTGACTTTCGAAGTCCACCTAGTCCGACCGCTGAGCTTGTGAAGTGATGCATCATGGCTTACGGGTTGGAGATTGCATCTTCCTCGAGTCCTCGAACTACTACGAGGTAGTAGGAGGCGCTGTCTCTACTGTGATATTTATTTTGAGCCTGCAAAAGCGACAAGTTCCTCGGATGTTTGCCTATAATCTCAAGAGGTCCGACTTCATACTATCTGCCAGGCCGGCGATGTTGTTACCTACACTGTCTTTTCATGATATCAGAGTAAAGTTTGGGAGAGAGGGGGGATTTTGCGTGCTTTAGAGAGCCTCTGAAGCATCTAAAACCACCCGAAGGGAGACGCTTGAGGTTCGCCTCCCTGGGGCCTGATGCACTGAGTTTGTTGATGGGCTGTCACAACAAGCACCTGTCTCCATTACCAAATATCAGCACTGACGATGTTTTCGACAGGGAGTTTCGAGTCACCGATGTTGAAAGTCGCACGTGAAACAGCGGTGCCATCTCCGTCTACCCCGCGGCCATCACGCCGAGATGAAGCGTATTGACAGCCGCGCAGGCAGAGACACTCAGCAACCACGAGCACGCAAATGAACTTGAACGAATTGAAATCGGGTTCAGATCATCCATTTGCTGCTCTTCACTTCATATCCCAACTACCGACACATCTAGCTCTATGGTCAGAAGTCGTGGTGGGGCCGATGGAAGCCCAGCAGGCTGGTCACGCATCGGGAAGTGGAGGGGGCTCATCCTACTACCTGGCTCCCCACGGAGAAGGGGCGAGACAGATGCCGGCTTTAGGGATCGCATGAGCCCCATTAAGACCGATTTACACTCAAGCGTCAGGCTGACCCTGGTGGTCACGGACACGTCAATTTTTGGCTGCGTAAAGACTGTCACTATAGCTGAAACCACTGTTGTGGTCAAGAAGGCGACATGGCAGCCTGTTACACTCGCCTTGCTTCCTGTCGGATGGCGGCGAAGATGGAGCAAGGTGTTATCGAGAAGAAGTCCCTAAAGAATCTCGAGTGCCAGCGCTTGACGTAAGATGTGGTTCAAGATTCAATTGCCTCAAACGATGCTACACGGTGGCCACATTGACAAAAGATGCTAACGGAATTTTCACCTTGATCTTAATGCGCATGGACTCAACGCCTATTCTGACCACACTGGTAGGAACTGGTAGTGTACAAAATCCCCTTGACAAATCAAACGCCCGACACGCATACCCCTGAAGCAGATCTCCTGCCTAGGCGCAGACGCCGTAGAAACAAGCCGAACCTGGACAGACAGCAGCACACCCGTACAATAGTGCTAGAATCACTGGCGGTACTCGTGTAGCAACTCGAAAATTTTAGCGTTCTTCCCATAGCGTCGACCGGACGGGGCTGTTCGCACATGCGCGCCGCCCAGCCTCTGTTGGCCCTTGAAGCTCTTGCGTACCCAAACCGAAACTATCGGCTGGAAAATCTCTTTGGCTTTGCCCTTGATCCTCTGCTTTTCCGCCTCGCAGAGATAGTCGGGATCGTTGATTGGAGCATACGGAGAGTCGCTGTCGAGCTCCAGCTCCTTCCCGTTGCTGGGTTTTCGGGCCTTGAGGTGACCGCCAGAGACGTCGTTGCGAGGGAGCTTGCCGTCCGTCGAATTGCCGCCGCGCTGGAGCTGATCTTCTTTCTTGTCACCCTAGTTCTGAGCAGCGGGATCAACACCAGCACTCTGGGCACTTCCTCTGTTCGACTCTGCCTTGTCGATCGCACTCGCGAGGATTCGTGAATGCGACATGTAGGGCTGCGGTACGTAGGACACCCACTCTCCATCATCGGTGGTGTCGGACTGGGTAGTGTGCGAATCGTCTGAGTCCTCGGAATCACTCAAGGTCAATTTGACATTGTCGATGTTGGGAAGATCAAAGATGACATTGCTACCGTCGCGATGAGTAATGTGATCACAGACTCTGTCGCTCGTTGCTTCATCCTCCATGGTCAAGGTCTTCATGGCGTGTGAAAGATCGGAATCGACAGCTGAGGGAATGAGCGGTTCCTCGTTGATGACCCTGATACTGTCGCCGGCTGCCAGACGAACAACCGATGTCCAAGTAATCTCACCCGGAAACGGTCGCTGCTCAACTTGAGCTCTCAGTCTGTGCTTGAGAGCGCGGCGCTTGAGTTGCGCGAACAGAGCGTTGCGGTGTTCTATTGTGCAATGTGTAAGACATGCAGCGGTAAAAGCCCTGTTGCGCAAGTATTCGTCTTCGTTGTAGCCGATGTAGTCATCAGACTCGAAGAGCCTGAATGCCCCTGGCATTGTTAACTTTGTCCAAGCGGTCTCAAAGGCGCTGTATCTATCGCCATTGGCCGATATCTTGCGCTTCATGGCGTATTTGAGTCCCTCATTGTAACCAAGGAACTTGACCCAGGACTCCATGATGGAATTCTTGAGATAGCCTTTGACGTCAGCGCATGCGTACTTGGTGAGAAGCTGATACGCATCCAAATAGTTGTTCATGAAGGCGTGGTGTTCCTCGCGCTCATAATCGGCGTTGGCGTGCTTGTTGTCGAACCAAAAGTCCCTTGTGGCCGCCAGGAGTTTAAGGAAGATTTGGCGGACGAAAACGACGAGGCTGCTCGAAGCGAAGCGATCGGCAAGAACGAAGATGCGCAGGATGGAGCAAAGGTCCATCAAGGGCATCTTAAAACAAGTCCTCCTGAAGACCTTCCGGTCATACCTCTCAACTTGAGCTTTCCAAAGATTACCAGATGGCATGCCTTCCTCAGAGAATCGAAGGAAGAAGTATCGGTGGGCAAGCTTCAGATACGCGATGAGGTCGTCAAAGGAGATATCATCGAGTGAGATCTCGGCTGTGTCGGCCTCGCGGAAGAAGCCGCGCAGGGCAGAGTCAAAGTAGAGGGAACCAGCGATGAGTATCTGGCGGTGGACGATGATCTCAATGTTTTCTCTGGTGTAGAGTTTGACGGCGTAGAAATTATCACTTGCATGGAGATCAGCCAATGCGAAGGGCTCTTCCAGAGAAGTTTTACTTACTAGCGAATTCTGAGGAGCCCTGCTTGAACATGTCGATCAGGCGCATAGTAGAACTCGAGCTGGTCCGTGAACGTGGTGAAGTCGAAGACGGCTCTGATAACCTGGCCATTGGGAGCTTTACGCTTGCCGTCAGCCACAGGGACTGGGATGGAGAGGCGCTGACTGCGATAACCCCTAGTCTGAGGCAGTCTGCCGTCCATGTCAAGCAGACGCAGCTCGGCCTCGGCGGGGTTTCTGGCAGATCCGCTGGACTGCGAGGCCGCCGTCCCACTGCTCTGACAGCTCATGGCGGTGACGAACGAGCTGCAGTGCTTGGGATGAGAGGGACGTAGTATCGAGACGCAATCTGCTCAGCAGTGATCGTGGAATAGCCGTGATTTGGAGCTGGGGGCGATAGGGAAGAAGTAGACAAGTCCAGGAAGGTGAGGATATGGCTCCAAGGCCTGCTATGCCGTGATTAGGCTCCGATATCGAAGGCAAGAGAGCAAGTGCTGCTACGCCCGCAACGAGAGAGAGCAGGTGCAGCCTGGCTTGCGGGGCCAAGCCAGAAAGAGCATGTTGACCTGTGTGAGGTTTCGACGACCGATGGCCTATGACGCAGTGCTCAGTGCTCAGTGCGCCAACGTTGCAACGACCATTATTGCGCGCAGTTTCCATCTTCAAGTGTCGAGACAAGGAGGAACCTCAGGGTTGGAGAGTACCGGGCAAGCGCAGATGACGTTCGCTCAACGCGGATGAGGCAAGGTTGTTCATCGTTTGAAAGGAATAGCTGAAAGCTCTCGACTGGTATATGATGATCGTGTTCGGAAGCTGGGCTGCCCTGATGGTCGCATAGTGCAACAGGAACGTGACCCCCAACAAGTGAGATCTGAATAGAGTGACAAAGGCGAGTTCAGTGTATCATGTCAATGCAGGAATTTTTATAAAGCTTAGATGGATTCTAAAGGCAGCAAGAACAAAAGGCGATACCGTGCGAAGCTACAGTGTCGAAGAAGAGCATCACACGGTTACAGTCCAGGTCGCCAGTGCACGGACAAACGGATGACCAGCGTCTTCTCACCTGCGTGTCACCTCACTTCTCTGTCCTCCAGAGTCACCTGGGAAGCTGGAAAGCGAACCCAAGACACAAGGGGCGTCAGTCATGGCCTCAGACTTTCGCGTTTGAAAGCTTGCAGAGAAACTGTTTGCTCAGCCGCTGTTCCCCGAATGAGTCAGCCGATGCTGATGACAAGGCTACGACCCCCAGCTCTCTCGACCGAAACCAACGTGTCTGGTGGTGCAGAAAGACAAATTGGATCGACTATGAATACCATATTCGCATGCGTATGACCATCCTAAGCCATTTCAAGTGTATTCACAGAGGCTATATTGTTCGACTGTGGAAGAGACACGGTGACTGTTCATATAGGTTGCCCCATGCTCCTCTACCACGAGTGACTGATGGCTGACAGCTCTGCTATCTTCACGCTTCCAAAGAATCTCCAAGAGACAAGCTTAAGCGATCACAGCCTCTTTCCAAAATCTCCACAGCCGTGCGCCTTCACTACCATACCTACCCAAGTCGACGAACCCGCTTGCTAGAGTGCACCAGCGTCATGGGCGGTTCAGCGTTTGCTTCCGGGGAAAATCCCCTCTACACACCCCGCATGCCATCTCACGTATACGAGCTGGTCAAGAGCCGTTGCAAGAGCGCTCTCCGCGACTTGTACATCTACGTGGCGAGTCCCATTGACGGTCCTGCCAAGAGGGACTACGGTGATGTCGACGTTCTAATGACCTGCGCACGGGGCGAGTTCACAGGAAGGAGCGGGGAAGACGTATTCCCCGAAACCGTCGTCAAAGCCATCCAGCATGCCCTGGGAGCCGAGCATGTGCTGGCCGAAAGAGGCGGCTCGCATTTTGCCGTTCCCTGGCCGAAGGACCTTCCTGCCGACAGCTACGCAGCCGGGCAGCCCCAACGCTACATCCAGGTCGACGTGACCATCTCGCCGTCCATCGCTGCGTTGCAATGGACCTTGTTTAAGCACGCACACGGCGATATTTGGAGCATCCTCGGCTCCGTCATCCGTCCCTACGGATTGACCGTTGACGAGCAGCGCATGTTCCTACGCATCCCCGAGATCGAGCAGACGAACAAGAACAAGGCTAAGATTGAACTGACGGATGACCCGTGCGAGATTCTCGAGTTTCTAGGCCTACCGATTGCTGGATTCTGGGAGACCCCATTTCCGACTCTATTCGACATGTACGAGTACGTCGCTCAGTGTCGCATGTTTTGGGTTCGCCCCGGCAAGGAAGAAGTCGACGATCATGGGCAGACGCACGACTCAGCCCAGGATAAGGCGAAGCTCAAGTCTAATGATCGTAAAAGGATGAGCTCAAGGCCGAATTTCAGTAAGTGGATCGACGAATTTGTGCCACGCTGCCGTCAGGAGGGTCGGTACATGACGCAGCGGACGTCTCGGGACAAGATCAGGCAGGAGGCTTTTACCCGTTTTCACGTCGAAGCCGAATACAACCGACGGCTGGATGAGTACATCCGAGAGAAACAGACCGATGCGGTATGGAAGGACATCAAGGGCGCTTTTCCCGCCGCGGACCCGACCGACAAGTACGCCTGCCAGTATCGAGGTTGCACGATCAAGGCGTTGAAGAAGGTCATCATCGAAGGTCACACGGGCTTTGGCGTTTTGCCGGAGGAGGATTCGCCTATGAGGGACAAGGATGGGTTCTTCATCTTGGAGAATGTGCACGATTTTATCAGCCGAAAGGGCGAAGAGGTTGGACGAGCTGCGATGGCACGGCACCATCAAGCATATGAGGATCTGCTCGAGACAAGGGGCCCCAAACGGAAGCAGGAGACCAGTTCCGAAGTGGCATAGGGTACAGAGAGACATGTTCTTGGGATAAGTAGACAGGAGACGCAAAGGGGCAAGACAGATCTCACGATAGACGGGGAGACAACAGAACGAAAGTAGCCTAAGTGCTCGCAATCTATGCATTTCGTCATCATTTCATCGTACCACGTACCAGTCACCACGCCGCTCACAGGCCAGGCCCAGGCCCGTTCCCCATCCAGGCCACCCATTTTGCAACCCGCAACACCAACTCCTCGCCGCCGCCCCGTCAGTTGAATATACAACACAGTCTGCCCCATGCATGCCCCAGACAGTTCTCTTGCGCCGCCGCCGTCTCCTCAATCGGTCGCCAGCCTCCAGAGGCCGTCGCCGAGATAATGCGCCTCCTCCATGACCGGCCCCTTCTTCGTATCCTTGGTCTCCTCGGTGCCGGCGACGAGCAGCCCCACGGCGCACGCCTCCGTCTTGCCCTCGGCCATGATGACGGCCGGCTCGCCCTTCTTCAGCTCGCGCGTCCACCGCCCGTCCTCGGCCCTCTCGGGCCCGTCCTGCGGATCGGGCAGCCGGCCGCCGGCGCTCGTGAGGCCGGGGGCCATGAGGGTGGCGCCCGACAGGACGAAGCGGATGGCGCCGCGGTCGATGCGCAGCGTCGGGAAGGCGCCGGGGAAGCGGTGAACGAGCTTGAGGTGGGGCAGCAGGGTGTCGTTGTCCTGCTGCCAGAAGAGGGGCTGCGAGTCGACAATGTAGAGGGCGATGCGTTCGGGGAGCTTCATCTGCTCGAGGTGGGCCTTTTTCGGCAGGATCTCGTCGATGTGCGGCTCGATGAGGGGATAGGTTTGCAGGACAGACTGGCGGATCGAGCGCTGGACGGAGGACTTGAGCTTGGATTTCGGGTTCACGGGAAGGCTGTGTTGTGGGAGAGTTGGGCATTAGCTGGATAAGCTTTGGAAGGTAGATTGGGGCAACAGGCGGGGGTTGGGGGGGTTGGATGGGGGAGATTTGGGAGGAGGACGCACTCTTTCTTGAACATGATGGCGGTCGTGAGGTGGGATCGGTTAAAGAGGGAACGGGCGCGTCGTATCGCTTGATATGGGAGAATGGCTAAAGGAGGGTCGTGAAGGTCGGGTTTGGCGTTGACTTGGAGAGTTGCGTCCTGAGCAGGTTCAGATTCACTGCCCCGCACCACGGCGGCGGTCGCTGGGCAGGCGATGGCGGGGTAGACTTCGGCTATGCAATTGTAGCTCCGAGATGCAGAAAGGCGTGCAGGTCAAATAGCGGGGGCTGGTCTCGACAGATTGACTGAAGAATGACTAGAGAATGAAATGAGGGTTTAGAGCATGAAGGGATAATTATCATCTCGTGTATCGTGATTCATCAACTATGCTATTGTACAACGCTTTCTCTAGAGGCCGTGGCCTTCAGGCTGTGGCACATGTTCCACCATCACCATCACCATCACCATCACAGGTACCCCGCTTAACCGCGCTCGACGTGGGAAACGGTGCCGTCGTCCTTGACGTGCACGTTCAGACGGTTCTCGTCAAAGTCCTTGGTGACCATCTGGCCAGGCTTGATGACGCGGCTCTTCTCGGGGAGGTCTTTCTTGCAGAAGCACTAGACGTGTCAGCGACTGGGGCATGGCGGCTCAGGTAGATACCCATAACATACTGTCTCGTCGGACTTTTCGTCGTGCAGCGTCTTGCCGACAAGCTTGTTGGTCCACTCCTCAGTCAAATCGCCCGACTGGCTCTGAATTCCTGGGACGACGAGAGGCATGGTGTTTACTGTTTGGCTGATCTGGTGGTCGTCGTGGAGTTTTGGAGAGGTGCAAGTTGAGATGGGGGGAGGAGTATAGAGACAGAATGGCGAGACAGCTAGACTTATAAGGAGTCGATGAGCCGCCACACCAAGTTAGCAGAAAGCAAGCAACATGCCACAAACAGGCAAGCAATCGTTGAGCGTTCAGAGCGCCGCTTGATGCGTTTCAACGTTTCGAGCCGTGATGAGCGATGACGTCGTATCCGGCCTGTGGCGGCGGGCAGTTGTGGCGGGGTACTATTGCGGGTCTCATCGGCCTCGTCACGAGATTGACGCTGCTGTCTGCATGGATGCGCATCTGTGATCTGTCCTTAGGTCACCTCACTGACCTATGCATTCGCCATTTATCATCTTGCTGGTCTCCAATTCTGTCGATGATCTAACCGAAGCCACCAACCTTGACTGAAGCATCGAGTTCATGGTTTGGCCGACTTCGTCACCCTCTGGCGCATTCCTACCCACTTCCCTTGCCGTTACGATTTCCTGACCCTAATTCACATCTAGAATACGCACCTCATCATGATCTGCGACTCAGTAATCCAGACTTCTTCGGTTCCTTACAAGCTTGGATGACACAACAATCCGGCTCATACTGTAGGGCATCATCGCGGCATCACCGAGAGACAAAATCTGACTACAGAGTATCCCAACATAATCCACGCTTCCGAGCCCTTCTCCAACAACAAGCAACCTGCCTGCCCGGCTAGCTCAATCGGTAGAGCGTGAGACTCTTAATCTCAAGGTTGGGGGTTCGAGCCCCCCGTTGGGCTCAATTCCTGACGCGTCACACATGACTGTTCCTTTTTGCCTTTTTCTGCTTCGTTTACAAGTTACCACTGGACTGGATCAGCAAGTCTGTTGCCTTTTTAAATGAAATATTAAGTTTCCGCAGAGTCATGACATCGGGACTTACCGCCGATAGGTCGTCCCTTGTCGAATTGATACTGGACCAGGCAATCTCTTCCCGAAGGTCCCGACAGTTTCGCGACTCGCATCAGTTTCGTGTCAAACTCAAAGTATGCTCGTCACGTCAGGGGTTGTTTCTCACGATTTGATCACAGGAATACTGGCTGTGTTGAGATTGGTGTACAATTGAGGTATCATGTATCGAAAACAGGCTCACACGAACGCCATGACCCTGTTCTTCAGCCCTGCACTCCATGCTATATGATGATGATTGCGCAAAACCCAAAAGAGAGACAAAAAAGAAGAAGAAAAAAGGTACAAGCAGCAGCACATGAATGCCTCAGTAGCGTTGGTGTTCCCTGAACGGATCCTCCTCATACGACTGGATCAGCGGCGCCTTGACACCGCCGTCACCGCCGTTCCGCGCCGCGCCCATGGCCTCGTCGGCCGCCGCGCGCTTCTTCTCCCGCTCCCTGGCCGCCAGCGCCGCGGCCTCGGCCCGCGCCCGGATGCCCTTCTGCCGCTTGCTGTCGCGCCAGCAGAGCACGCACATGCCGAGGGCCGCGACGACAATGGCCCCCGAGAAGATGATGGCGACGACGATGCCCGACGTGTCGAGCTTGTTGTTGAGCACCTTGCAGTGGCCCGGCTTCTTGGCGCACCACATGTCGTCGGCGCACTTGGCCTTGAGCACCTCTGTCGGGAAGCACGAGAGCCGCGCGCCCGCCGCCGTGCCCGTCGTCTGGACCGGGCAGATGGTCGTGCTCTTCGTCGTCGTCGTCGAGCAGGGGCGCATCGAGGTGCCGTCAAAGGCGAAGCCGTCGGCGGCGGCGGGGAGCGTTGGCGACGGGGTTGTAGCGGGCGTGGCGGCGGCGGCCTGTGGAGAGCGGCGTCGCAGGTCGGCCACCTCGTTGCTGTCGGCTGCGCCGCTCTTGCTGTGGCCGACGGCGCGTTCGCAGCGTTTGAGGGTCCAGAGGGCCTCGATGGCTGCTTCGGCGGGCGTGCAGCCCGCGTTCACGAGGCAGGACTCAAGGTCCGAGGCCTCGAAGAAGGCGGGGAGGCTGGTGAAGCAGTAGGCGAGAGAGCCCTGGTGGCCGCAGGACGCAAGCGCCGCGAGGGCTGCACCTTTTCCGTGGACGCATTCTGACATGGTCGGCAGGACGGCAGCGGCCGAACCGGCGAGGGAGAGAAGCGCCAGAAAGGCGTTTGTAGAAAGAATAGACCGCATGGTGTTCGTGCGACGTGCGACTGATGGTTGTGGGGCAGATGCGCGCGCGCGTGTATGAACAGTGTAAGACGGGCTGGAGAGGAGCAAGTCGCTCAACGATCGTTGGGCTGGAGCTACGCTGATCGACGTCCAAGCTATCGCGAGCTGGAAGGAGTAGTTCCCTTCCTTGGTGTTGACAAAGTGAGCAAAGCAAACAAAACTTATTGGACCGACCAACGCATTCCTCCGTGGGCGCGCTTAAATTCCTGGGGGGACAGCCAGAACTAAATGCGCTCGCTTGACATCCTCCTCCCCCCCCCTTCAAGGCAGCGATTCCCACGGACAAGGATAGAACGGCGGACAGACCCCGGCCGCGCCCCCCCTTTGCCTGCTGACGACCAAACTCAATGGTCGGACTGCACGTCTGTCGCGAAAGAGGCTTGGGGGCTGAGAACCCCGTGGAGCCAACCCACTGGGTGTGAATGGCGGCCGAGAGAAGTCTAGCTTTGACACCCAAGCCACCACGGCTTCGTAGGGCTGGGTGCTGAACGGCACAGTCTGCGGCTGGCAGCCATCGTGGCCCGATTGCAAGGGAGGTCAGATGGGACTGCGGCTGGATTGGAATGCTGGGGGCCGCTTGGATGGGAGGGGGGAGGCCATGAATGGAACGGTCTTCATTTCAGCTGCATGGCAAACGCCACGGAAGCTCAAGAGCGGTCGCCTTCATGCTGCTGTCAGCTGCCAAACTTTTGGCGCAAATGAGACAAAAATGCACGTTCTGTGTTCTTCTCTGGGTAAAGTGGCAGAGAGGAGACGTGACATGGGGCCGCAATCAAGAGAGTCAGCCTAATGTAGCTTTCGCCTGACTCAGTAAAGTAAAAAGGTTCGGCTCCAACGCAGGATTCGGCTGCAGTTGGTTAGCCAGCCAAATCTGGAGCCCCTGCACAAGAGGAACCCGGCCTTGGTGTGCATAGAGGTAGACGAGGGGAGGGGGGCTGAGGTCGAAAGGGACAAGGTAGCTCAGCGGCATATATGTGCCGTCTCCATGCCGATTGCTGCTTGACTTTGCGCAGCCACCCATGAGGCTGTCTGCAACTGGCTGTTGGCAAGAATAGATGCACACTCACGAATTGACGGGCGGGGAGATATGTCCCAATTGGGTGACCGACAATCAGTCCGCGAAGATGCGCGAAATTCCGGCGACGATGCTCCGAGCGAGAAGGTCATGGTGTTTTTTTCCCTCTTTTTGCTGTCACTGCGATCTAGGGCCATCTCACACATTCTCGTCACGTGCCCCTGTCAGATCTCAATCTGGCGTATCGTTCATTTGAATGGTGGCCAGGATCACCAAAGTTGCTGAAGCTGCTAGGGCCCAACGGCTCAACGACTGCTCGCTACGAAAGTCTCGTCTTTATTTTTTTTTTATTTTTTTTTAGAGAACTCCTGCTGATTTACTAATGGCACCGAATTGTCATGTGGCCAGGCTTGAGTCTTCCTCACTGCTGATGCTCGTTGCCTAAACTCACTTGATCCTAGAGCACCAAGGACACTGAGGGAGACAGGTCCTGATATCTCTAGCATCGCAACGCCGAGATGATCACCACGCCGGCCATGCCCTCCAAATGTGGAGTTTCTCGGCCCCTCCATACGGAGCTACACGGCGATGGCACTAAGTCGCCAACGCCAAGGGTCCGATTCCCCCGCCGAAACGGATCGGCGTCATGAATCAATCGCCCGAGCCATGTGGCAGACTCTTCTCTGCCACCTCGTCGGAGCCTCCCCGATAGCATTCCCCTGGGCACATTGACCAGAGTCCCCCAAGCTCACAAAAAGGTCGTCGCGCACTGCGCCAACCAGCAGGGAATCGATGTCGCCATCAGCGGCTCCAAGCACGCCGGTGCAGTAGCGCCGCCTGTGACTCGATGATCCGACCCCGTCATGCCCACCAGCAAGATAAGAAGTGGTTCGCTGACGGGGCCACCCGTGTCGCAACCCTGGCGTATGCAAGATCTACGAGTAACCGCTCCTCAATAACGCAACCCAACAGTGCCGCCACTAGCCACTCATAACCCACTGCCCTCACCTTGAATGATGTCGTGATGGCCTTCGTGGCAGATTCTGCTGGGACGCTGTCGGGGGTTGGCGACGCACGACCATGTCACTTGCCTCTTCTGGATAGCAATGTTGCAGACCCGCCACGCGAGGATCGACATGGAGGATGGTTAAGAGGGACTGGAGGACTGCCGCAGCCTGCCTGATGGATAAACTCCCGTTGTCGTGCATCGTTTTCGTTTTCATTACTTGCGTTTGTCTTGTAGAGAAACTCCTAGTTCTATTGCTGTGAAAATGGCGACAGAAACACCAAGTGCCGGATCTAGCGAGCAGGATGCCCATCAGAAGGATGTCACACTCTCCGCCGAACAGGGTAGCGCCGAGGAAACACATCCTGTGAAGCCTGTCTCCCGCTTCACGAGGTGGTACCGCAGCCCTCTGTTCAACGTCATCATCGTTGGTCTGATCTCGTTCACGCAGCCCGGTATCTGGAATGCCCTTAACAGTAGGTCGACGACCTCTTGCAAGTAGAGTAGCCCATGCTGACCCGGCGCAGACACGGGTGCTGGAGGCCAACAGGAACCCTACCTTGTCAACGGAGCCAACTCCCTGACCTTTGGTATCATGGTCTTTGGCTGCTCCATTTTCTCCATTGTCGCCAACAAGATCGGTCTTAAGACGGTGCTTATTCTCGGCACCTTGGGCTACGCACCCTACTCTGCCGCTCTCTACGTCAACAACCGATACGGTACCGAATGGTTCGTCCTCTTTGGCGGCGCCACCTGCGGTATCGCAGCTTCTGCTCTCTGGGCCTCCGAGGGCGCCATCGCTCTGGGCTACGCGGATGTTCACGATCGAGGAAAGTTCAGTACGTTCCTACCCGACTCTTTCTGCCTCTCTCTGCCTCTTTCTGACACGTTCTTCCAGCGGGTATCTGGCTCGGTCTCCGCGAACTCGGCCAGCTCATTGGTTCCTCCATCCAGCTGTCGATGAACGTCAAGAGCGGCCAGCGCGGCCGCGTCGGCTATACGACCTATCTCGTCCTCATCGCCCTGCAGTGCCTCGGCCTACCGCTGGCCCTCCTCATCTCACCCCCGCAAAAGGTCATCCGACCTGACGGCCGCCGCCTGCCGGATCCCACCAAGAACAAGGCGATCAGGGGCGAGTTCCGCAAGTGGTGGAAGCTGCTGCGCACGCGCCAGTTCTGCCTCCTCATCCCCATCCTCGTCGGCTTTAACTGGAACAACACGTATCTCGGCATCTACCTAGTCCGCTACTTCTCCGTGCGCTCCCGCACCCTGGCGTCGCTGTGCTCGGGGATCGCCGCCACAACGGCCAACATCTTCTGGGGCTGGTTCTACGATCTCAAGTACTTCAGCCGCCCGCAGCTCGCCAAGATTACCTGGTTCTTCTTCGCCATCACCATGGTCTCGTTGTTTGGCTGGCAGTTCGCCATGGAGAAGGAATACTCAACCTCCGAAACGCCTGTGACGCTTGATTGGGATCTGCCCGGGTTTGGAAGGGGGTTCGCGGTGCAGGTCTTGTTCAGGTGAGTTGGACTTCTGCGATTTCTGAATCTCGAGTCCTGATGATTGATCGCAGATTCATGAACGAGTCGCACTACATGTTCGCCTACTGGATCCTTGGAACCTTCTTTGACGACATCGAGACGCTTACGCTCGCCGTAGGTCTTGTGCGGTCGTTTGAATCTCTCGGCTCGTGTCTCGCTTTCGGCGTCGGCGCCGCAAAGGTGGCGCCCATGACCAATCTCATCATTGCCTGTGTCATGTTCAGCCTGTCGCTTCCAACAACATCATGCCTTGTATTCCTTGTGCCTGAAAGGCCCAAGGAGCATGTTTTGGATGATACGGAAGAGTCCTCTGACGAAGGCAAGACTGTGGATGCGCCTGGGCTGGTCAGGACGGCGCCGGCCACGGAGGTCGCCGATGGTCCTCGGAAGTAACATGCCGTCCACACATTGTTGAGAGGTGACTCGGAGTTTGAATCTAGATGTGCAATTGAGAAACGTCTGTCAAGAGACAATAAAGTAGCGCTCCCACATGGCTGCGTAAATGCGAACCTCAATCCATCATGACGATCTCGATCTTCGATTCGTCGACCGCCTCTCCGTTCATGAGCCCGTGTACATAGCTCTCGCCAACCAAGGTGTAGACCTTCTCGTTCATGTCATCATCATAACCCTTTTCTCGCAGTATAAATGGCACCGCCGTCCCTGGTATCACTGCTACCATGTCGCCCACCTCTGTCAATGGCGGAATCAAAGCGAGATATCCTTTTTCTGTGACAGCCAACCGTCGCGAATAGCATCGGTACTGTGCCGAAGTCACCCATCTGGATCCTAGCTGCATCCGCTCATGTGTCTCCTCTGGAGATAGTGCCCTATCCTCATCATCGAGCGGCACTTCTACGAGGTGACGCATCCCATATCGATACCACACCCCGTACACGGGGTCGGCTGGCCAGTCCATACCGCTGCCGCTGGCAAGCTCCCCAGTCCCAACAGATGGAGCGTCGCAGACCAAAGTCCGCCAGAGAGCCTCCTCGTGGCTCTGACCGTTGGCGTACGTATCTCCACTCAGTGTCGCAACCAAAGCCTGCGCCGCGAGAATCCAAGCATTGCACCTCTCCATGTTAGCCTTGCTGTCGATGCGGTGTGTCAAAGGATCGACCGCTGCGCGATGCAGTTCCTCCGTCATACGATCGATCTTGTCGACAATGATGACTTCAATCTCAAGACCCCTTTCATGAACGACGGGCCCTCTATTCACGAGCCCGCCGGAGGTCTGATACGCCCTCTTCCCCTTCGGCAATGCGGCAATGACAGACCGCCCGGTAATCGACCAGTCGGGCACCCAAGACGGCAGCGCAGTCAGGCGACGCGGCCAACCCACGCCGCTGCAGGGCAGGATTTCGTGCAGCGTGCCTACCTGCATGTAGACGAACCGCGCCGCGTTGATAAAGACCTCCTCGGGCGTCTTGGTGTAGTCCGGCGCGACGAGCGGGTGCGCGCCATCCTCCGCGAGGCCGACGAGCGCGAACACCCTGTCTCGCGGATCCGTGGCCTCGAACGTCCAGCACTCGGCAAGCAGGTGAAGGAGCGGGCCCGACAGCGCCATCTCTTCCCCGTGGTATCGCTTCCGGATGCTCGACAGCAGCACCACGTTGGTGGCGCCAATGGGTGCGTTCGTCTCGCCCAGCACGCTCGAGTCCTCGATCATGACGCTGAACTCGAACGAGAGGATGAGGCGGAGAATGATGGGCGCGAGCGTCTCCCACTTGATCGTCTCGCGCCCGTAGACGACGTGCAGCATCTTGTTGACGGCGATCTCCTGCACCATCCAGATGCGGGTGAAGTACGGGTGCGCGAGGATCTTGCCGATGGCGAGCCAACGTGGCGTGCGCCGCTCGTGGACGTACTTCAGAAAGAGCTCCTTGTCTGTTGGTTTGTATGTTTTGATGTAGTGCGACAGCTCGAGGACGAGGTCGACGGCGATGTGTGAATCTTCGCTGGCGCCGAGCCATATCGTCACAAGGGAGGCGGCATTGTAGATATGGTGCATGATGCTCACCTGCCAGGCCTTTTCCGCGTTATCTTCCTGGTTGATGCAGATCGAGTCGATCCAGATCCTGCGCGGTTCGAAGACTGGGCTCATGTCCAGCAGTAGGTTGTAGACGTTTTGCGTCGTCTTGAATGGCTTATCGTTCACCCATATTGTGTGCGTTTTGGTCGGATCGCCCCATGTGTATGACATGGCCTGATATGTGGGATGGCGCTGGCCAATGTCGACAGTGACAAGCTTGCAACTGATCTTACTCGAGTTGCCCCGTGGCAGAATGTATAATAGTCGAATGTCCCAGTCTTTCTGCAAGGCTGGGTGCTCAAAAGGACGTGACAGATCTTCACCACTGGCCGGTAATGACCTTCTGCGTATTTTGAGGTCGTAGGAAGTTTTGAGGTCGTAGAAAGACTTTCCGACGAACCTCCATGTCATATCTGTGAGGAGTCTGAGGAAGTGACTGCGCCAGAGCTTTGTGTAGATAATATGCGGAACGGACGCACAAGCCAGGGTCACCCAAAACCAGTCCATCAACTGCCCAATGCTGGGCGGATCTGTCACAGCCTTGTAAAATCCATCCTTAACAAAGGCAACGGAACCTCGCGGGTAGTGAAAGAGTATAGAGCTGATCACAAAAGTAGGCAGCGTAAGCGGTCCTCGCTGGGCATGGTCATACCACATCTCGGTTGCGGGCAGATCAAGGTCGGGGAAAACAAGAGGTTGAGCGGCGTAAGCGACAAATATGATCAGGCTGAAGACGAATGTCGTGTCTTCAGTGCCAATGAGCCAGTCGCCAAAGAGGCCGAGAAAGATTGCGAGGCGTCCATTGGTGATGGCAAAGACGCACAACAGAGGTATCCAGAAGCGACTGATCTTAAACGTGATGGAATCCAGCACCCACCCGAGAAGGGCGCTCCCAATGTGTCCCAGGAGCTGGCCGACGAAGGAACTCACCAACGTTATGCGGCGTTCCCTCGCCAGGTTCGCGTCGACTGTCGCCATGGCAAGAGAATTGCGACTCTTATGCTATCTTGGCATGAGGGGTTGCACGTCGGCTGAAGGCCAAGCGATCATATTTAACAGGCTCCGATCCCACACAAGGCATATTGAGGCTTGACAGTGAGCCTTACCGGGTATATGCCGGTCGATGGCATTAGCTAAGCGTTGTTGACAGCTGCATCAGCTCTCCCCTGGTGGTCGTGGAGATTAAGTCTTAACTCCGGCGCAGGTCTGGAGCGATGAACCAGGGGTCAGCTCAAGTGTTGACAACGGCTCTCTTGAGGGTCTGTAGGTGATGGTATTTCACATAATGACTACCCGTGACTTCATGACGAATGGGGCTTTCGAGCAACCCTTATGGACAAGAACGTCAGACATCAGTTGCCCCCAATGCTGTTCACCAGTGCACTATGTCGAGCTTCGCTAAAAATGTGATCATCATCACGAGCTCAGCCTCAGGTTTAGGACTGGAGACGTGTTAGGCCCTCTTCAATGAAAGCGCTCATATCGGCAAGTGTGATTTTAATGCACAGGCCCTCGACTACATAGCTAGCTCCCCGAGGACCATCGAGACAAGGTTCTGACTGGTTGTGTCGGTTAGCCCAATCGCGAGACAGTCACGGGTTTCCTGGAGGAAATCAGGCCACACTCTGGTCATGACCGCTTTACTCGTCGGTAACGAAACGGACCCAGCGGTGCTCAGCTCTACGACGGAAGTGACTCTTGTCAAAGATAGGTGAACCTTGTGGCGTCTCAAAGGCCATTCAGTTGTAAGCATCGAATTTCAATGCATTTCTAATTCTCAATCGTCTTCAAATCTCAAGGCTGCTTGAATGCATGTACTGATTCTCATTTACATTACAACCGGGCCAGAGCAGGCGTTCCAGTCCTTGAGTTAGTTATAGTTGATCCACAAGCTTCTCCGCCGCATACGAAACATTGGATCCAAAAGTAGATGGAAGTGCCTGAGTGTGACGCACGTTAGCTCTGGGCCAGAATACGTCAGCTGGTGTTCCAGAGTATAATGACTTACCTGCAGATACAGAGTGCCGTCCTCGATGACGACTTCACCGTATGAGCCGTACTTGAGAGTGTCCACCAGCCGAAAGGCCAGCTCGCCCTTCTCGACAGCCTCATTGAAACCCTCCTGAATCAAATCATCCTCTTCGATCTTGATGTTCTTCAGCTGCCAATCGAGGCCCTCAAAATACTGCTCGATCAGGTAGCCAAGCTGTTTCTCCCAGTCATCGCGTACCTCGCTGCCCTTGGCGGCCGCGGCGGTCTTGAGAGTGGCAAACGTGGCCTCAAAATTGGGGATGAGCTTGATGTCAGGCTTGGCAATTTGTGTGGCAATGGACTTTTGCACAGCGTCAATTTTCGCGTCGTATTCGGTCTTGATAGAGTGGCGCGCCAGAAAGCTCAGTGGTGCATCGCTGGGAACGGCGTTGAGGGCGGGGAAGAGCTGATCCTCCTGGGCAGCGTAGCTGATATTGGAACCCAAAGCGTCAGGGCGGAAGAGCATCATAAGCTTGCCGTCCTGCACGCCGACGCTGCCGTAGCTGAAAGTCTTCGGCTCTGCGTCTTCGACGTCCATGCCGAGGATGTGGGCAGAGGCAATGGTATTGATCTCCTCAGCCAGGTGGGGATACCTCTCGGCCTGGTACTTGATCTGCCAGATGACACCCTCAACGTAGCTATGTCAGACAATTGTCAGTGACAGGAGGTTTGGCGAGACTGTTTCCCCAGGCATTCTTACTCCTTAATACAGCTACCCACAGATTCCTTGGCGTAGCCGTCATTGTGATATGGCCAGATGGCGTTGGGGTTGATATCAATTGTCCAAGTCTCCCCAAGAAGGTCCGACAATTGTTTCTCGTAGTCTGACTTCTTGCTGTCCCACTCGTCGCGAACTGGAGAAGACATTCAGCTGAGTTTGTATTGATGCACCGAGTTTTTGACCTACTGTTCTTACGAAGCACGAGAGAGAGCTTCTCTGCGGGGGGAAGACGAACCATGATGGTGGATTTGCGTGGGTTGAGTTGAAAATTCAGGAAAAGGTATTCAGTGAGTTGTTCGCTACAAGATCTGTCTTACAACGGCTGCTAGAAGTGGTTTATGTAGCTGTCTTGACTGGCAGTTCGATGCCTGACGATGCCGGCATTTGCCGTTGCGTTGGGGCGCTGTGGAGATTATCCTCAAGGCAGATGCGCCTTGAAGCCTGCCAAGTAGGGGTCTGAAGTCTTTTCAGGAACGCGGGGTTTGTGGAACCTTGCCTGGCGTGAAGATCATAGCGGTATTCTGCCTTATGGCCTCTACTAACGACCAAAGCTGAACGCATCTGAGCTCAGCTACGACGCCTCGGCAGACGCCATCCGCCACGCCCTACCGGGAGATTGCGACCGAGACGGAATGGGGCAAGGCGTTCATTCAGACCCCTGAATGACCCCTCATCGTGAGGCGGACACAAGGCAAGCTGCCTGGATCCCATTGTGGGGTGACGCATACTTGTATTGCCTTGGATCATCATTCGGCGTCAGTGTACATGGTTGGTGTCTGCTTCTCATCCAACTTTCAAATCGAAACATACAATGTCGCTGTCAGTCTTGTCGTAAACCCCCCGCACTACATGTCGAGAAACCCAACTGACGTTAAATGTGCCAGACCTCTGAAGGTTCAAATCGGCGTCCGCGACCACTGGGCGGCGGAGACGGGTCCGACTAAGACGTCGCTAAATAAGCTCGCCAGCGTCCTCGGGCGGGCGGTCGTTGTCGATCCCGAGTGGCAGCTGCTGCTCAACGAGCTCGGCGGGATTTACTCCGACAAGCTCCGGTTTGTGCAGGTGGTCGCAGGATGTGTCGAGGCATTTGCGAATAGCACCGCGGAGCTGCTTGAGGACGAGGAAGCCCATGAGCAGTGGATAGAGACTCTTCTGGAGAAGACAAAGACTCAGTCACGTTTGAGGCTTTTCCTGGAGGTGCGATTCTACCTGATATCAATTCCAACTGTGAGCATTGCTGATCGGCACAGACATCTGGCTCTAACGATGTAGCCGTGTCGTGGTCGGACCAGAGGTGCGGGTTCATTATCAATCTGCCGAAGAAACAGATTCATTCTTTCCCGGCGCTGTATCCCAAACTTCGTGGCGATCTTCTCAAATGCTTCACTGCCTCGAGCATCCAAGCTTCCGGTCAGCCTCCCGCTGCTGACGACTGGGCAGGTGTTGAGGTTGACGCCGGTACTGGAAAGCCTACCGTCCTCGAGGCGGTCGTTCAACAACCGCAGAACCACGCGGAAACTGGCGAACACCTCCCAAACTGGGGATCCCTGCCTCGACCTGACGACTTTTTTCTGCAACCGCCCTACTACCTCATTCTTCATGGGAGCGCCAGCCAGATTGTAATCGAATGTAGTCACAGCCCGTCGCTGAAGCTGCTCTCCGAGTATCTTAAGCGTTGGTGCAGAGTCAATCACAATGACTCGCGATCTGTAAAATCCCCCCCCCCGCCCGTTTACCCAGTTGTTGCCGGTCGTTGGATGCTTACTGACAACTCCCCGGCTCAGCCACCGGCAGTCAGCATTCAGTTGCACCAGTCAGCCTTTGGGTTAAGCGAGATGTTTGACAAGCTCGAGCTCAGCACACAGGATAACCGCTACACAACTCAGTTCCAAATGACTTCGCCCATGCTATTGGCTTTGATAGAAGGTGTGTTGGGCTATAAGCTATTGTCGAACCAAGGGGGAACATGGAACTTCCGCCGGGAAACCGAGTTCCTCTCACAGCGGTGACCGCATCGGTGTTGATTCTCCTCTTGCGCCAAACCGCAAGGTGCTCTTGGAAGAGATGCAAAGCACAGCCTCCTTGTGCTCTCGAGAAGAGTACTTTTTAATGAAAGTATGGTCAGTAGCAAAGTTCTATCTTGTTCGATAATAGTTACGTAGGCGATAAGAGGCATTCACCGGGCAGTATCAGCAGGTGTGGACTTTGATGCCCGGCTCAAGAGATGAAACAGTGAGCACAAGTGCGCCCATTCACTAAGCGTAAGCTCTCTGACTCTCTATCACGTTTAATAGAACAAATGTGACCAGATAAAAGAAATCCAGATGCGTGCTGTTTGTTGAGACTACCGATTGATTCCTGCAGCGGCTAAATCTCCTCCCTGTCATCTTCATTTCCGACACTGCATAGCTCCTGCCTGACTCAATTGCATTCAAGTGCTCCTTATACAGTCGATGGGTAGCAGTGAGTGGGCGTCTTGAGTCTACGCCTTGCTCCCGTGCCTTAATCTGGGCAAGTGATCTATGATGCCGTACAGAAATGGCGCCCGGATAAACAGAATGTACTATCTAGCAGGCTCCGGCCGGGATCGTAGTGCTTGCAAGACGCCTCCCTCCATTGTAAGAGGCACCAGAGCCAAGACCGCGCTTGGCAAAGCCCTTCCACAGCTCGCAGCGGTTGCTGCCACCGGTGAGGATGCGGTCAGCGTCAATGATGGCATCTCTGGCGGAAACGAAAGTCGGATTGCATGGTTGCCTGCCGCCGATATTAGTAAATATCTGTACGATGCTGGGAATGGTCAAACTTACAGAGCCATGCCGTCAATTACAAGCTTCATGGCTAGGAATTTGCCGTCGGTTGGGACGCCTGCAGTACTGAACTGAGGCCAGGTACCATCGTTCTTGCCGTGCTTATCGATGAGGTTCCAAAGGACCTCGTAGAGAATGCTCGCCCATGTGGTACCAATAGCATGAACGGCGGTCTGGCTGTTCACTGTGGTGTATGTGTATGGGTTTGTGGTCATCGAAGTTGAGTACTTCACTGGTCGGATTCCAGCAGGGTTGTTAGTGGCCCAGGCTCCCATGACGTAGTCTGTCGCACGGGTGTCTCCTCGCTTTAGACGGATGGCTGTAGCAAAGAAATCGCTCCACCCTTCGCCCATGCCGCCGGACTCAAGAGAGTTGAGGCAGCCAGCATTTGCAGGCCCACCAGTCAGACGGTTTGAGACTAATATTCTAAGTATATGCACATCTTATAGTAGTAGAGTTGGATTCACTTACCTCCATGGGCGTATTCGTGGATGACGATGCCAGCCTCGAAGCTGGCGTCCCTGCGAGGGGTTGAGGAGGTGAAGAGGTACATCCTCATCCGGCCCGGCTGGCCATCAGCAGGAGAGGCAAAGTTGGCATTGTTGGTCCCAGAGCCATCTTGGGTGTTGAGGATGACAAAATCGGCGCCTCTTCCTCCCTGGCCATTGTTGTTGGTCTCAAAGTTGCCAGCCGCCTCGGTGAAACCTAGAAGGTACAAGAGGTCATGGAAGATGTTTGAGGTGTAGAATAGCTGGGTGATAGACGCATCGGCGTAGGCAGACGGTGTCGCCATGCTAGTTGAGTACTGGAAATCAAAGTTCAGATTCGTGCGGGTAGGGCGGTAGTTGTTGAGATACGCTGTCCCGCCGCTGGGGTTTGACTGAGCAATTGCGTTATTGCCCCTCGTCGTCGTGTAGTTGGTAGTTCCGTCGCTGTGGTAGGCAAACTCGGACGCCTTTGAGTTCCATGGGTCCGTTATTAACTGACGAGATCCCTCGCTGGGATCATTCACACCCCACGGGCTGCTGATGTCAGAACCGAGAACAGGCTGCAGAGGTGCAACATGTGTTGCCGAGAAAAACGTCAAACTGATGAAGAGGATAGGAGAACTCACTAGACGTTATAGGTCGCAAGATCGGATACGTAGTCAACAATGCCATGAATATCTTCCCCAGTTTTGGCGTCGATGTACGTTAGCAACCAGTTGTCCATGATGTCCGTCTCAACCCGCCAAGTCAAGACAAGCGACCCATCTTTTTGGGCTATGTAGACCAACTTGGCTACGGGGTCAGACACGGCGCCATCGGTGCCAGTGAGAGTGTAAGTCTCTTGCCCTTCCTTCGGCTCTGCAGATGCAGTGGAGGCCTCAATGGGCAAGCCGAGGATCTCGGTAGTCTTCTGAAGAGCGAGAACGGGGTCGTTGAAGTCTCTCTTTTTCAAGGGCTCCTCCTCGGGGATCTCGCCAGAGAAGAAACTGTTGCCGAAAGAAAAGACTTCACCATTGCTGTCAACCTGAATCATGTTAGTTCCCCAAATGGATAATAAGAACCACCCTTGAGAACGCGAAAAACTTACATTGACATTGAAATCAGCATTGTCAATGTCGATGCCGTGGGCGGTTTGCTTGAAGTTTACATGGGCAATTCCATTAGCTCCCACGTAATGATCGGAGACAACCCTGAAGGTGACGCCGGGCACAGTAGCTTTGACGAGCTCAGTGGCAGTCTCAACGTACGTAGCCCGCTTGCTGAGGGTCATAATTGGGTCAGAGGCTGTTTCTGTAGCGTTGACATATTCTGACAGAAGGGGAAGCCGGAAAGCCTCGATATCAACACCTCTCCGGGCGAGATGGGGCTGATGAGTGGTTGGATGGGCAAATACCCGGGACCCAGGCCCAAGCAAGCCCGTGAGCACGAGAGATCTGATGGCACCCATGATCATAACGATGACAGAAATATTTCTGGAGATGCTTGCGATAAGTCGAGAGCTGATGAACTCCAGATCACGTCCATCAGAATCGTGGGATTCTGGAAGTGAAATAGACGGCGACACGAGCTCCTCGTTCACAGTTAGTCCCTCGCGGTAACAGCTACATATACTGGCCTTGATCGAGCTTCCTATTCAAGTCTTCCACTCCGTCCTCTATCTCATGATGTAGTCTCTGGGGTTCGTCAAGGTCACTTTCCCTATTGAGTACATGTAGCGAAATCCCCTCCTCCAACGTAAAGTCGTGACATGGCATCATTATGGAAATCCACCCTTCTTCTTCGCATTGCGGTCATGGGACACGCTGGTTGTAATCATGTCGCTGCTTCTGCTGCTTTGTCACTGCTGTGTGAGTACGTAAAAGGAAGGTGGCCACATCTCGATACGCCGAGGTTGCATCCGCGATTGATTCACCAGAATCGCCATGCAGCCAAGTTTGACTCCGGTAGATCAAGTTGATCTCCACAAGACATCTTGTGACTAAGCTCTCAGCTGTGCTAAACATCCTCCTCGAGGGGGTTAGCCTGGGCTACTACAACACCTCTCTCAACAATTAGCTCCTTCGGACTTATCGTCCGCAAGTAAGCTGCCGTATGGCACAAGAGTCAAAGTCACAGTTGGGGCTTCCGGAACTTCCGGGAGTGAATTTCAGTTGAATGTACTGAACGTACATCAACTGGCGAAATGTGATTAACCTACGGAGGGTCAATCCCGACCAACAAAGACATCACATGAGGTGCTCATGTAACCAGAGTCTTACTCTCAACTGCCTCTTAAGGTCGGTTGGTTACAACCAAGCATGAAAGCGGGGACGTAGGCCCTCATGTCGTGACTAGCTTGGTGCCGGATATCGGCTGCTATGCTGGCGAAAGACCTGCCTAAAGCGGGTTCTGCCGACGCGGGATTTACAAAGCTTATCATTTCGGGGTCTATGCCGGCCGGGCGTCAGCGCAGCCTCATCGGACCTCATCACCGTCACAGATGTAAAGAGGATGCGACCGAGGCACTCAGCCAAGATCTTCCACAGAAGCGGCCATTGACAACGAAAACTTGACGCGCGGGATGGTCGATGTCAAGCACACCTTATCGTTTGATTTCATCGCCAATCAGATTTGCGACTCATAATTAGAATCGCCTTGACAAGCCTAATGCTAGTTCTCCGCCAGTTGAAAAACTATCCGTACGGACTTCACAATACTTATCTCCGGAGGGTAGAGGTTTACGCTAAGGATTCCACTTGGGTCAGAAGACAAGAAACATATCATCGGAGAATTGTTACGATGGCTGTTTTGGAACTCGAATCGCCACTGAGTGCATGCTATTGTGGACATATGAGATGGACGAAGCGGATAAGGTAAAGCAGATGGATGAGAAATGAATGTGGATTGGTGTCAGTGCTTGATTTGGGGCAGAGTGAAGAGGTCTTCCACACGTGGTCCGCAGGCAATAGAATACAGGCAGGGGTACGGCACACATCTGAATTCTAGCCCTCCGCAGCTTAGATGGCCCTCCGCAGTCCTTATATACACGCTCTCGTAAACATTGCCCCCCTGACGGACCCCGTGCTTGGTAACTCCGCATGGCCACCTGACAACTAGCATACTCGACAACGTGCAGGAGTGTAGCACACGTCTTATCTTATCACTATAGATTCATCGTTTAGATCCTTGGGTGATTGACCGCCGGTACTAACAGCTATGGAATAAGCCAATTTAGTAAAAGAACAGGCAATGTGCCTCGGAGTCAATCATATGTACTACTGCGGAAAAGAAAATCGACAGGAACGTGAGGAGATTGTTTCGGGTGCTGACGTCTATCTACATGATTTTTCGCGACATGCCAGCTTTCGGCCCCTACCCCGCCGCCCTTCGAAGGTGAACTTTCAGGCGCCGCCTATTATGCCTGTAGTTGTGGTTTCAATGCGTATCAGGAGCTGCTGTTAATGTGATCTTACGTCAATGAATAAAGTCCGCATCAGCATCTTAGCTATAGAACATTAACTCGCTAGAATGCCCACCATGGAGCCTGTTGTGTGCCTCTATGCAAGGGTCAAACAGAAGTACCTGCTGCAGCGCTTTTGGATTGAGAGAGGTGCGAGGCCAAGAACGAGGGAGGGTAACCCGAGTATATGAATTGCTGGCTTTTGTGTCCGACTTTTGAGACAGCGAAACTAGGGCGCGAAGCCGAAGATGGTTCGAAGCCTGTGTTGGGCCTGA